AGAGTAAGTGGGACAACAGGCCATTTCTCTGACATTCTTAATAGGAAAACTGATGTAGTCAATGGAAATCACATTAAATCGGTCAAATTAAGAGATCAGCTTTTTGTGTAGTTTTAATCTCAAAAAATAGAAGAAAAATATGACCTTCGTACACATACTAGAACATACAGGGAAGCAATCAATTAATTTCTTAACCAATATATTCATTGCTATTATTTTTATGGATCCTTTCAGAATTCTTCTATGTGTAGATATCCATACATAGATATAGATACACTTATGCATTTATAAATATTTATAAGAATATAGTTTCATTCTACATATAAATATTGTTTTTAAATTATTCAACAAATATACTTTTTTAATGCCAGTAAATGTGTCTATACAACTTTTCATTCTTTCCTTGTTTGCCTTTTAAAAATAGTGTACTTATTTTCAAAGGAGACTTTCTTATTTATACACTGTCCTTTCTCTTTCATCTTGAGAATGAGACTCCCCCCGCCCAAATCTATGCATATAGAAATGATAGTGTTAGTTTTCCTTCTGGAAAATATCAAAACTAATAATATTTTACAAATTACAACAGCATCAGGAAAATAAAACTGAAATCTACTTTATAATTTAGTGTTGTATAGGTCTTCAAAGATCCCCTGACAAAACTGGAGAAATTTAGAAACATAAATAGAGCTTCTATAAGTTATTGCATCTTTAGCTAGCTTGCCTTTATTTAAAGTACAAATTGCAGAAATGTTTCCAACATATAATTTTAAGCAAAGCATAACTTCTAAATTTCTATTTTATCCTATTTAAAGTAGCATAAGCTTTCTCTTGAATACAATTCAAAGTATTTAATCAAATTTATGATTCTTCACAAATTGTTTAAAAGTTTTCACATCATTTAAGTAGCACTTACATTGATTTATTGAAATTAACTGTTAATGTACTGTTGAAACATCAAATTTTCCTTAAATTCATAAAGAGTAGTTCTTAAGTAGACTAAAATTTCTAGCAATCTGATATTAAAAATACCTGCCTTCTAAGAAGATTTGACATGTTGAGAAACCAAAGTTTTTGATTTGGGAGTGAAATTACATTTCTAGAATTGAAATTACATTTCAATTTCATTTGGGAGTGAAATTACATTTCTAGAATTGAAATTACATTTACCACAAATAGTAAAATCATTCATGGCTACATAATGTCATATTTAAGAAAAAAATATTGATTGTAGGAAGAATACTGAAAACTCATGTCTAGGAATGTTTGTGAGGTGTGTATGAGAACCGATTAGGAAATAAATCCCCAAATCCAGTGTCCTGAAACCCTCCACATTTTTTGAGGTCCAATTCAAGACATACCTCTGCCCAGTGTCCCACGCAGATCTATGTCTCTAAACCATCCATGCTTTCTGTTCAGTCGGATCAGTCCCCTTGCCTTCCTAACTCTTCTATGTAACATATAGCATTTCTTATTAATTGAATTTATTTTTGTGTTATTTCTCTGTATCTGAACTTTTTTCCTTTAACAAAGGACATTATGAATTACTTGAAGTTCTAGCTTCTGTGCCTGGAACACTGCTTAGTTTTCAAAGTATATTTGAGTAAATGAACTACATGAAAGATTCACTTTTTCATAAAAATGTGGTTATTTGTCGATTACATTGCTTAGTTCTGTTTTACCAAATCATCTGCTTCACTTGCTCTCATTTCCCAGTCTTTGCTTTGCAAAAGCCACAGTGTTAAATAAAGGCAGATAATTTACTTATACATTAAGATACTCAATGACAAAGTTCAGGGAAGGTCTTTACTTACTTTTGCATGAAATTTCAAGGCAAAAAGTATAAAATTATAGACATCTTAATGGAACTAAGATATTTATTAATAAGAGAAAATTATGTTGGACAGTTTAACTGTGGTTGGCTCATGTGTTGACTCACTTATAAAAGTGATATAATCAGGCCTATCTGTAAAAACTCGGGAGTTTATGAAGAAGCACATAATACTTTTGATTTTGTAGGACATCTTTTAGTAGAATCAAAGTGATTATTTTTCGATGTATCTGAAATAAGATACAAATGATAGACACAAAGGTGACTGGTAGGTTTGGAGTACTTGCCCTTAGGCCTGTCCTTATGGCCACAGTACTGAAGGGAACCATCAATGTATCAGGACATTGTAGAATGCTATTCTATTCTACTTGAAGTTGAGAGCCAGTCTCTTTTCCTCAGCTGGTAAGAGTATGTACAGTCCAACATTTACATGGGATTGGTTTCCTATTCGTGCACATATGCCAGAATGCCATGACACATCACTGGGTGCTGCATTGTGATGCGAGTGTGACACCTCAGGCCACTCTCTGATGTATCATAAAATGCTCCAAATGTCTGAACATGAAGTAGTAGCAAAGTTCATGGCTTGAAAATACTGAGAGTGACTATTTGCTTTGTGAGTAGGTCAGTTAGGAGAGTCACTGTTCTATATGCTTTACTACAGTAACCACCATAGAGTCAAGGCTACCATGTGCTAAGCACCCAGAGTGTGCTCGGTTTGTGCTGCTTGCTTATGCATCTTACATTTCTTTGAACAGAAGCCAGGCATTATCACCCCTATTTTCAGATGTGGAATCTGAGTCTTAAAATATTACATAACTTAGCCTATAGTAGAATTTATATATGAAAACCTAGTTTCATTCTAAGCACTAAGCTATTTGGCCCCACGAGTTAGGTTATACCGCAGAAATACAAATCATCACTCTGAATTTCCAACTAGAAAATGACTAAGCAATTTCTAATGTAAACAGCCAACTTTTACTTCAAGCAGGAAGCAAACTGATTCTGATGACAGATTTCCAAAACTTGTATAGACTGTTAAGAATGAGTAAGAAAACGGAGGTAATGTGTCTAACAGCTTGACCTAGCCACCGTGCAAGCACACTCAAAATGCACGTGGTAAATATAAGCAATATTCACTGGGCAATTAAAAATAAATGTAAGAAAATTGAACAGAGGTAGAACAGCAAAAAACAAAGCTATGGAGAGGAAGGAACACGTTAGTTAATCACCTGAGCTCCTCCATCTCCTGAAATCTGTGGGCAAGTCTGGATTTTCTGAATCACAATCACCTCAGCCACTAAAACAGATGACAGTGTCATGTAGGACTCCTATTTCACCCTGGAATAGACAGGAACATCTTTGCCTAGTTCCCACATCTGGTCACCCCAAATCAGATCCCCTTTCCACCCAAATTTTCTGCTTAGAAGACCTGGGGGAAGGGGCTTTTCCATCTTCCCACAGAGCTGTCTGTGATACCTACAGTCTAAATTAAACTGTGGCCTCTTTTTCCAAGACTCTGAATCTCTTGTATTAACTGATTAGTACACTAGCTATTTGTGTATCTGGCCCACACGACTGAGCTTCTGACAAACAGGGACCTAATCATCATCTAATCTCCCCTATTCCCCAACAAAAAATAAAACAACTTACACAAAATAGCTTTCACCAAACACTGAACTGAAGGGAAGGTGGGGTTTCAGGGCTTCCGCATATTTCATATTATTTAACCCACTTACTGTGAGCTTTTTGAAAGTTTCTCAGAATTAGGAGAAATGCACTACGCCACACATTCTTTAAAAGTCTGTTTTAGAGGCACAGCCAGGGAAAGAGATGTATTTCCAGGTCAGTGAAACAGTTCAAAGACAGAAAGCAGGGCAACTTGCTTCCTAAGTCAAGAAAAATCCACAGTCCCGTGCTGAGAGGACATCAAAGTCGTCAGATGAAGAGGCTCTCCCCACTTTACTTTTCACCTACTTGTCTTTGTTAAATTTGTCCTGGGTTCCCTGTGGTTGATTTCCTTTTTGAGTACAGCCCAAATGGGCCTCAAACTTCCTCTGTAGCCCAGGCTTGCCTGGACCTCAGGATCCTCCTGCCTGGATGTCCTGAGTGCTGGGATCACAAATGTCACCATTCTAGGCTCCCTCTTGGGCTGGAAATGGGGCCTTACTGTATCTTTTATCTTAATTTGAACAGCAGAGGCTCGGCCCTGCTAGCAAAGACCTTGCTCCTTTCAGTGAGGTGTTGTTTGACTCAGCAACCCTCTTTTCAAAGGTCAGTTTAAGTCTTCAGTCCCTTTGTCAGAGTGGTGAGAAACAGATATCGGGGCAAATTGATGTGAATCAAAACTACATGGCGGACCAAATAGTTTCCAATCAAGTCTACACTGTGGCTTGTGTCCTTCCCTGCTGTGTTAGTTCATTCTCTCTGGATTTCACACCTGCCTTTAGCCTCCTGTGAAACGGGAGAGTGATGCTTTACCCAGCAAGACTATTTCATGAGCTAGTATAGATAAGAAATTTTGCTTGCTGTTTGTTTTATGGTCTCATGATGAAACCCAGGTCTGCCTCCTCTTGCCAGCCTTCTACCTCAGCCTCCTAAGTGACCTGATTCCAGATGTGTGGCCACATCCAGCTAAAATTTTAAGTGCCTAATACCACACTGGTAAATGGCCAGTAAATTATACTTGGGGTGTTTCACCGATATTCTGTCCCTTAGAGTCCAGGTGGAAAAGGACCCTAGACTGAGACACAAGGCTATCCTACTGGAAGCAGCTCACATGGAGGCTCTGTCTCATCTCTGTTAAGGAATTTCTTTATCCTCCTCAGAGTTGAGTCTAACATTGCTAAGCCACTCTTGGTGTTGAAGCACTTTTACATCTCAACATCCCCTGGCTGCCTGTCCTAAAATCAGTCAGGACACGCACAGAGGTTTCTCAGATCCTATGACACTGGGACTTTGGGGTGTCAGGTCCCCAGCTCCCCATCTCCTCTCCAGGTTAAGATGCGGATGGGGACGCTCTCCACACAGCCTTCGGTTTGATTCCCACTTCCTCCCCGGCTCTCCGAGCGGTTCTGAGGTAGTAACCTCCGGTGCCTCCACCCACGGTCGGGCCCTGACGTCACGGGCGGTGTCCCAACCAGCCCATAAAATGGCAGGTGCGCGGCGCGCCCTGGGCAAGCTCGCTCTTCTGGCCGCCGAGCCTCCGCCGGCGCCCCACGTCCGAAGCCGAGCGGAGCCGAAGCGCTGGCCACTGTAGGTGCTCGAAGCCGGGTCGGCTGGGCCTCCGCGCACCGACGCCCATCTGCTCCTCTCCGCCGTCCCGCTCCCGCTCAGGCTCCAGCAGCCGCAGTCCAGCTGCCGCCGAGACCCGGGCGCCGCCGGCCCGCGGGACCAATGAGAACCCCGCTGCTGCCCCGGGCGCTCCTGGTGCTGTCGCTCCTGATCCTTGGCTCAGGTGAGAACCTGCCGCGCCCAGCTGCAGGCGGGCTGTCTCCTTCAACGGTGCTCTGCTGCCTTTTGGAACCCTGAAATTAGTCCTGGGGCAGGTGATCCCCAGAGCTCGCTCCCCTGAGGTAGCAGATGCCGGGGGAGTTTCTAGCCTCCGAGGCAGGACCTGGCTGTGTACACACCTGCACCAGTTGATGGACACCTGAGACATCATTTCAGCCTGAACTTTTGACAGATAAGTCAACTGAGGTCCAGAGAGGTGATTTCCCCCAAGAGTAGGTAATTCCTGGACCCAGGAGGGTTCGTTGACTTCTCCCTAATTTATCTCTGCTCTCTAGGAATTTTACTTTCAGAGAGAGGTTAGAGGCACGGCTGCTGATGCTGTTTTGAGATCTAAAACTATTAAGATAAAGCAGGGACTTGAAACTTAGGAAGAAACTCCAAATGTTTCTTCTCTATTAATAACGGTGATTGGAAGCACAACGGAAATCATTGTCAGCCACCACTGGCAATACATTTTGCATTTCATATACATGCTCAACAGTGTGAATACATTAGGAAAATGTGTCTCAGCATCCAGAACCTGTTAAAAGGAGTCGGGACAGCCGGACATGGTGGTGAACACCTTTAATCCCAGTACTCCGGAGGCAGAGGCAGGTGAATCTCACTATGTAGACCAGATTGAGGCCAGCCTGTTCTACACAGTGAGTTTCAGTCCAGGTGTGACTACAGGGAGGCCCCTGTCTAAAAAATGAGTGGGGGGTTGGTGCAGAGAGCATTATTAGAAACACACATGCATACAGGATGTGATTAGAGTATTCTGACATTCCTGTTGAGTGGTTATATTGGTTGGATTTGGCAAGATGTTTTAAATGTGGAGATGAATGTGGACTACTTGTGGAAAAGAAAACCTGGATAAAAGAGGCTCTATAATTGGAGCAGCTGAGTTTGCTTCTTGGCAAAATGTGAAGTTGCTTTCATAAGTGACTCAGTCCCAAACAGTAGCACGTATGCAATAGCTGCTTTGATAACAAGATAAATGTTTCTGCCCAACACAGCCATCTGATAAGACAAAAGCAGCCCACCTCATCTCTCCTTTCCCTGCAGGCCACTATGCAGCTGGGTTGGACCTCAATGAAACCTCCTCTGGAAAAAAGCAACCTTTTTCTGAAGACCACCATGCTGGTGGAGTGGCAGTTTCCTCAGGAAGTGAGATGTCCTCTGGAAGTGAGGTTTCTCCCATAAGTGAAATGCCTTCTAGTAGTGAACTGTCCACTGGGACCGACTATGACTACTCAGAAGAGTATGATAATGAACCACAAATATCTGGCTATATTATAGATGATTCAGTCAGAGGTAAGTAGAGGATACAGGGAAAATGTTGTCTATGAGATGTGGCTTGATCTGAGCAAAGTGGCTTCAGAAGAAAAATGGCTCTCCTCTCATGGCTCATGATTTTTCCTCATGGCTTTACGTCTGTTGGATATCCTCCAAAGACCTATGTGCAGGTGCATCCCATAGGTCCAGAGAACTTCCTAATGATTTCTGTTTAAGTTGAATCTTTACAATTCTGTTAAGTAAGAATCATTATTCTCATTATACAGTTGCTGAGGCTTGGGCAGGTGATAGCGTGGTGCAGGGAGCAAGCACTTGAGCCAGAATTAGAAGCCAAATCTGTTTGATTCCAGGACTACCTTCTTTTCCAGTGTGGCACCTGACCTTTATTCTGAGAGCAGAGAGAGTCTTTATGCATTCCCACTTGCCTTGCAAGCTCAGCATTTGTGTCCACGTCCCTCACACTACCCTTCCTCAAATAGCTGCATTTTGACAAAGCAAGGGGACAGAGGAAATAATGAGGGAGAAGGAATCGAACTTATCCTTTAGAAATGTTAAAGGAGCATAAGCATGCACAGATTTTTGTATTAGTCCAAATCCTGTTTATCAGTCAAAAACTAGTGACTCCTGCTTTTCTTTGTTTTTACTGTTATCTGATCTTTAGTGAAGATCTTTTGTTTTAATGAACACCAGAGAAAGAGATAAATGCTCACTACCCTCATTTTACTTTGGATTTTGAGGGACAAAAAATGCCATCAAGAAGTCAGATCTAGGAGTACCCACCTAGGAGGTAGGGCAGGATGGTTTCAGAGCTCTTTTAGGCCTCTTCTTTCCCAGCAGTTCCATGACTCCTTCTCTGTAGGCTCCCAGAACTAAAGGGAGAGTGTGTGTGCCAGGAGAGACTACAGGAGGGATAGGCTTCAATGAGCACACTACTCCCTTGCTTCTAAATTTGGGCTTTTTATGTGTGGTTGGGGAAAAGATGAGGTTAGGCCATCAAAATGTCTAGCAATTAGTCTCTTAAAGATGTGTTAAGTTATTAACACTTCAGAAGGCCATATAAATGATTAGTGGAGCAATGGCCTGCGCTCAGAATTTCAGTTCAGTGTATTATAAACCGAGGAGACGGGTAGTTTGAAAAGCTGTTCAGTTAAATACCTGTGGGTGTCATTTCTGTTGCAGTACTATAGCACAATGATCATTATTTGTCTCTAATTTTGAATCTACCTGATATAGTACAGTAATATTCATTTAAAATAGTTTCAACTAGATGATTTATTTTAACTTGTACTTTGTTAAAATCAGAGGAAAGTTTCTATATAAAAGCTGCATGACCACCTATTTAGCAATACTCCTGGCAGATTTCACTTTGTTAATGTTGTTATAGTAACCTACTAAAACCTCACGATATTTGTTTTGTCATTTCTTTAATCACAGATGTTCTGTCTTTAATATAACTGTTAACTTTCTATTATGCTTCTAGTGTTTTCTATGTGCTTGCATGACCTTTGTGACTAATGGTGTTTTCTCTTTTCACGGCTCTCTGTTTGCTAAACACTTGGCCATATAACCCTCTTAAGGGATCAGTGTAACACAAATGCACAGCATTAAACGGAAACCTCTCCCTTCCATCCTTAGCATGTAAGTAAGCTGTATCTGTAAGAATGCGTGCAATCTCTGTAGATTTAGAGTGAATCTCTGAGGCATTCAGCACAGATATTGCTGTATTATTTTGAAGAGACTGAACACAACAGTAAGATCCCTGAAAGGTATCCGTTGCTATCTTGGTACTAAAATTTATATATATATATATATATTCAGTTTCTTTCCCCCTTAAGTTAGTGCCCACTAACTTCTAAGGTAGTAAGTACAAGATAAATATGGGGAAATAAGATGGACAAATATGTTTCACATCCCCTTTTAATCAATGGCATTGCCCTTTTCCAAGAGATAATGAAAGAGTGGGGAAAAAAAATCAGGCTTTGGGGACTGGAGATGGCTCAGCAGTTAAGAGTGCTTGTTGCACTTGCAGAAGACCTGAATGAGGTTCCCAGCACCCACCCACACTGGACATCTCTTAACTACTTATAATAACTACCTGTAACTCCAGCTCCAGGAGATCCAATCCCCTCTTCTGGCCACCACAAGTACTTGTGCATGCATGCATGTGCACGCACACACACACATACACACACATACACACACACACACACACACACACACACACACACACTCACATCAGCACTGTTTTTTTCCTAGCTGCTTGTCCTAGGACAAGTTACTTATCCTCGCTGAAATTATTTCTTCTCTGTATTATGTGGACAACAGTATATCTATATGCATACGCTGATAAAATAACTAAGGTACCATGTGACAGAGATTTTTAAGCACCATCTGACATAGATATTCTGACAGTTTATTATAATTACATTGTGCTAAATGATAAGACAAAATGGTTGTTATCCCCATGAGTTCTCAGGACTCTGATTTCTGTGTCACACGTATGTAAAATCACATTTAAGATGAAGGGACTGTTGGCAATAAATGTGCCCTAAACTTATCAACTTTCTTTTTACTAGTTGAACAGGTAGTTAAACCCAAGAAAAACAAGACAGAAGATGAAAAGATATCATCAGATAAACCCAGAAGAAAGAAAAAAGGAGGCAAAAATGGAAAAAATAGAAAAAACAAAAAGAAGAAAAATCCATGTAACGCAGAGTTTAAAAATTTCTGCATTCATGGTGAATGCAAATACATTGAGAACTTGGAGGTGGTCACATGCAAGTAAGTTTTTAAAAATTATTTTAAAATTATTTTTATTATTTTCATTTTATGTGTATGAGTGTATTGCCTGCATGTGTGTGAGTGCACCCGTGTCGTGCAATGCCACGGAGGTCAGAAGAAGGTGTCGGATTCCCCTGGAATTAGAGTTAAGGATGGTTCATAGACTCCATGTGGGTGCTGGGAATCGAACCCCGGTCCTCTGCAAGAGCAGTCAGTGCTCTTAACCATTGAGCCACCTCTCCAACCCCACAAGTAAGTTTTAAAGCCTTTCCAACTCCTTATTTCCCACACTAGATCCGACACTTTTACCTAGGGAAACTTCTACCTAGAGAAAAACCATGGAATTTTCCAGTGTATAAACCAAGGGCCAGAACATATCTTTAAAAGATAAGGTAGTGAATATGTAGGCTTTGTGGGTCAACATTATGTATGTAGTTAGATAACCAACAAAAATGTAAAAATTTAAAAATGGAGAACATTTTCAGTTTGCAGGCTGTGCAAGACAAAGCAAATGGGGTGTGGTTTCTGACTGCGGGTATAAACCATCATTTGTTACGTCATACTCATATGCACATATACATCCATATAAATAAATATATTTTTAAGCATCTTCTTGAGGAGGGACCTTAAGGCACTTCTCACATAATCTTTCAGGTTCTTCTACCCTCCCTCCTCAAATCTACCAACACATTGAATGATACTGGAAGGCATTAACTGCACAATCAGCCATTGAGCTAATCAGGTGGTCCCAAAGGAACACAAAGAATGACAGATGTGTCTTCTTTGAACATCATACAGATACATGGCATAGCTTTCCTCATTGTTGAAATTGAATGAGTCTATAGTGAAATAGTAAACTTGAAATATGGAGAATGTTTTTGGGAATTCATATTTTTTTATTGTGTTACAGATGTCATCATGACTACTTTGGTGAACGTTGTGGAGAAAAGTCCATGAAGACTCATACCATGGATGACAGTGACTTATCGAAGATTGCACTGGCAGTCATAACTGTCTTTGTGTCTGCCGTGAGCCTCACAGCCATTGGCATTGTTATCACAGTTGTGTAAGTATGGCACAACTTAAAATTTTAACTGTTCAGTATTTCTATCATTTTCTACTAGTAATTATTACATGAGTTATTCTGTTGGTGGTGTGCGATCTTTGAACAGAGTGCAGTCAAAATATGCATTACTTTGGCTACTGTTGAAACAATGTATTAAGCCAGTTTTCGGAACTAGAACATTTTTGAACTTAAAAATTGATAGTTTTATCACATATTATCTTTTTACACCTGGTTATTTCTGAATCTCAGAATGTGCTGGTATCTTCTGTGAACATTTTACACTTAAGCATAAAGCTGCTCAGAAACTAATTATGGTCTGGTTCGTAGTAGTTTCATAGCAGCAAAACACTGCTTTGGCATAAAAAGCCATCACAGAAAGCTTCAGATCAGCAGCCAAGACAAGACGTGTCTCTTCTCATATCACAATGCCAACTTTGGAGTTGGGAATTTCATAGCACAGTGCTAGTTCATTTCTAGCTTATGCCCATTTTGTCATTATCATATACAATAGTGTGGGAACTTATTAAAAAACAAAACAAAACATTTCCTCCAAATGGAGTGGCGTAGGAAGCAAGGACAGCTCTGTTACTGTTGTCCTCCTACAGCATCTTCTCCGGGCAACAGCAGATCACACGCCTCACTTCATGAGCAAAGAATGTTAGAACTAGACTGTTTTAGGCAGTAGGCACACTGATGGATATGTCAAAATGGTATTGTCTGTCAGACAGAAGTCACTGAAGAAGGGAAGTTGGAGGAGGGCATGAATGGTGCCAGGATGACTCATGTACTACCAGGGCTTGGGAAAAGCAATGGACTCATTATTCTAATTTTAGGTCTTGGTAAATTACCTTAACAAGTGGACTGTGAACATGATCAACCACTACTGTCCTTCAGGATTCAGGAGTTATCTTCTGCCATTGCTAAAATGACACATAAAAGCTATTTTCTTGTGCATGTAGAGTTTGTTGTGCAGTTTAAATTTGTTTAAATTACCTTAACAAGTGGACTGTGTACATGATCAACCACTACTATCCTTTAGGATTCAGGAGTTATCTTCTGCCATTGCTAAAATGACATATAAAAGCCATTTTCTTGTGCATGTAGAGTTTGTTGTGCATTTTAAATTTGTTTTGCACATTCTAGAATTTCTTGTAGTGCTTCAAGCCATATGCAGAAGTATTTAAGGAAAACAACATATACAAACCATTATCATTGAACATAGAAGAGCAGAACAAAAAGCATGTTAGCTAAAGAAATGTTTTACAGTAACTTCTACTCATTCAACTGCCATACTTAGTCCTTTGGAAGAACAGGGAATGACTGTTATGTTGACACTCTTGCACTGTTTTTCTTTGGGGCTTTACCAAGAATTGAATCCAGGGCTTCATGCACTAGCCAAGAACTCAACCACTGAGCTACAGACCCAATGGTTTTACTTTTGCTTGAGGCACAATCTCAGTAAATTTTCTAAGCTCAACTGCATTTGTAACCTTCTTACATCAGACTCTTGAGTAGCTGGATTATAGGCCTGTACCACCAGGCTCGGCTCCTTAATGGCTTGCTTGAAATTAAGCAACGATTTTATTTTCTTTTTCTCTCAAATCCTTCTTGTATTTGAAACATGAACAGTAACCCTGAGTCACAATTACTGGGATTTTTTTCCATAATAGAAGTGACTATTTTTCTTTAAACACCACAAGCAAAAGTTCTTCTGGTTTTAATAATAATGTTTAGTAGAATGACTAAAGTCCTACTAAAATTAGAATTGCTTGTACCAAGTGCACCAAATTTAATTATGGGTTTTGTTTTTATTCTTGTTTTTTTGGTCTTTTTGACACAGGGTCTCCCTGTAGCCCCAGCGGTCCTGGAACTCACTATGTCGACCAGGCTGGCCTTGAACTCACAGAGATCTGCCTGCCTCTGCCTCCCTGGTGCTGGGATTAAAGGCGTGCACCAACACACCCGGTTTAATTATGAGTTTTTAAAAATACATTCTAGCAATAAACTAAATTAGAATGAAATAATTCTATTTGGAGATGAATTAAACATAAGTTGTTTTATAATTAGTTTTTAAAATTTCTTATCACTTAAATTCAATTTTCAAGCATGAAGTCCTCCTGTTATAAAGTGATAGTGTCACCTCCTGTGCTTAAGGACATGAATATGTTCCATGCCTTCTGAAAGTTTCCATTTTAAATATACATTTAAATTTCAGTGTTCCAGAAATGTATCTGGATAGTAGCAGCATGAATGTCCCCCAGAGAAAGAATATTGGTAGCATTTTGTTGATGGGTGTAGGTTTTGGTTTAATGACGCATAGAATGCTTGTCTCTAAGAACTCCCAAGAAGAAACTCCTGTACTGATAAAACCTCCACCGCACACATGAATGAAACTTTAATAACAGAATACCTTGTTCTCTGAAGGCTTCGAAAACGATACTTGAAGGAATATGAAGGAGAGGCAGAAGAACGAAGGAAACTTCGACAAGAAAATGGAAACGTGCATGTCATAGCATAGCTGAAGACAATGTAGGTTTGCCTGTTAAAAGACATTTTCCCATTATATAAGTTTGAAAAATACACTAATACCTCAAGAAAACAGAATCTATTCTTAATTATGGATACACTGCAAACAGTGGTTCTTTTTTTAAATGCTATTGTTTGAGTAAGATTGAGCTTATTCTTGAGAATAGACTATGTTTTTAATCATTGCTAAAAGAATTATTAATGTCAGAAACTACCAGATAATGAGAAGATATAAAGAATCAAAATACTGAGACAAATAAAATAGGTGACATACAGAAGGAATTGATGGACTATGAAAACATCCTAAAAGAGAGAGAATCCAGTGGAGTGCATTTAGGGGTTAGGAAAGGTCATGTACACAAAATGACCTTGAAAGTCAGTGAACTGTAAAGGACTGATGAAACTGGAACAGGGTTTACAAAGAAGAGAGATTATGAAAAGTTGGACAGATCACTTAAGAAACTTGTGGCTATGGCCTGGTTCAAATGACTTTAGGTGAAATAAGGTTGTAATGACAGGGTGAGTTCCCATGGTAGAGGGCCAAGGATGAAGGATCCCACTAAAAGGAGAGGAAGTGAGACAAGAATTTGAATGCTGCTTTAAAGAAAAGAAGAAGGGAGGCTGGAGCAATGGCTCGGCAGTTCTGTTCCTAGCACTATATCTGGTGGCTCAGTACTGCTTTTAACTCGAGCTCCAGGGGAATCTGATGCCTCTTGGCCCCCAAGGGCACCTGTGCTCATGTGCACATATCTGCATGTAGACACACACATGCATAATTAGAAATATTGAAAATTAAAATATTTTTACAATCAAACAAAGGGAGAAATTTGAAACAAACTTGAAAGTGGCCTGTTAGAAATCTATGATTTTATTTTTTAAATAAGGAGAGATAAGTGTGTTATAGCTAGAAGGCAAGATAATTCATTGATCATGAAAGTAAGGCACTAATGAGATGACTTCAGAGGAAGGAGGAAGCAGGAGATCTAGGACACCCCTAGCATTGTTTTCATAAATCCTCCATTTCCTCAAACATTTAGAGAAGATGTCATGTCCCTAATGCACTGTCTTTCACTTTCAGTAGACTGAGTAGTTACTTGGCATGCTTGTTAATATGGTATTCCTATGTCCATCCTAAATCTATGAATTGGAATTTCTATTATTAATGAACATTCTTGATGGTTCTGATTCTTGGAGAGCTGTTACAATTTAGCACTGGCGAGGCAGTGCTCAGATATTCTGAGCCCAATACAGAACCAGTCTCATAACTCATGAAATGGATGGCTGTTCACACCAGTGCTTTGTATTCATTGCACCACTTAAACACATATTGGTTTACTGAACCTAGGCTAAGACTTGATACATCCATAAGGGTGGAATTCTGAGTATTTAGTGCCATTGAAATTTCTCAGTGTAGGTCCCACATTGATTTTAGGATATTACTATGCTGTGTTGGCACATAGTGGCTGCCTGTTAACTAGTAGCTACTGTTATTATACCCTTGGTATTAATTATCCAAAATTAACTGTATATCATAAATACTGAGACACTTAATCTATGTTTTTAATTATGCCCAATTGTGTATAGTTCATTAGGAAAGCTATTTTTCTCGACCATTGTCGCTTTCTTTATTAAGCAGAGTTTTATATAAGTGGTATGAGCATTTGCAGTTTTCTAAGTAATCATATAATTTAATAAGAAATGAAAGAAGGAAAGTGACAGTTTTCAAGCCAAAGTGACAGTTGTCACTGAAAAATACTTAGCATAGCTTCTAGGACATCCTAGAAAAAAAAAAGCTGGCAGGAATTCTAATTCCTCATCTTCCTTTGAAATTTCTTAAAGCTATGTTGGAATTGAACTTACCTCTAACACTTTTTTTTCCTAACAGGACAGCAGGTTGGAATCACTGCCACATCACAGCTGGAACTGTTGCACTGGTCCTCCTTTCAGTGAAGAAAGTCGAGCCTTCTGTTCTGATGGGTTAAAACTGTCAGTTGTCACTTTTTATGCTAAGTCTTATTTCTGTACATAAAGAGATGCATAGAGATAAAAAGTATTTTTTCATGCTGTAAATAATTTATTTAATATTTAAGAGTTATTTATTTTATGGCTCATTAAACTTTTTTAATCAAACAAATTGAGAGTCTGAATATTTGTTTTGGGGGTTCAATACTTTAGAATACTTTTCTCTAATATTTGGTTTGTCCCTTTCTGCTCTCTCTACTGCTTCTTATTATTCTTAACTTTCATTCTTTCAGAAAGGTCTCACTATGTAGGAATTTGTGATCCTTCTGCTTATAGGCATGAGCGCTGAACCTGGCTTTAGAAAATATTCTTTTTTTAAAATTAAAAAAAATTAATTACGTGTATATGTCTGTGTACTAGTACTGTAGCCCATGGAGGCCAGAGGTGTTGGATCCTCTGGAACTGGAATTACAGGTGGTTGTTAGCTACATAGTGAGGGTGTTGGGAATTGAACTCAGGTCCTCTGGAAGAGCAGTACACGCTCTTAACCACTGAGCTCTCTCTTCAGCCCCTAGAAAGTACTCTTTAAGAAGAAAGGTATAGTTCCTTACTCCTCCCACAAACACATAATATTTATAATAATAATTCCAAATTGGCCTTTCCTATTCCATGTAGGACTTATACCAAGTCCTATAAATTATAAAAACATCTGAAACATAACACAAACACACACACACACCAAAAATAAATAAATAATAAAGATAAATATTAAAAAGTTAAAAGTCTGAGCTTCCAGAAACTCCCTCACTTCCCCAGGCTCCTGACTTAAATGGACTGGAGTGAGTTGTGATATCTAGATTTGTAAAAGATCCTTAAATGTTTCTTATATGCAGCCAGTATTGAGAACACTTGATTTACTTCTGCTGAAACATGTTTCACACACATTTTCCTCAGCCTTAGTCACTAAACATGCATTTCAGCTGCTTCCAGTGCAGTGTTAGGCATGCAGGACAACAAAGACCTGACTGGGAGACATTCACCACCTGGTTGGCAATAGTGGTATATCTTGTCAGTGCAGTGCCCGAAACAACTAGCTGAGGCATGCCCCAGGAATCCATGGGGGCCCAGAAGCTCTCACCCAGCCTAGCCGGAGAAGTCAGGGAGCACTTCCTTCAGAGATGCTGCCTGAGATTGTCTTTGAAGGATGGTTAAGGGGCTGTGCTACAGGCATCATAAGAGGAACAACCAAATGACAGTCTGCATCAGTATGCCCTGACTAGGAATATGGTTCATCATTGAAACCAAATATGTAGTCAAAAGAGCCTCTAAGGACCTGGATTGTGAAGACAGCCACCCAGGGCCTTTAACTTAAAATCTAGGACATGGGACACAACTGGAGCAAGGTAATATGGGTAGAAATTTGAGTTGGTTTACCTTCCAGGTAGAACATCAGTCCACTGTGTTTGAGAGGGATTTGTCCAAGTCCAGAGGCCAAATGATTGGCTTGAAAGCAGTTAAAATATTGTATATGAAAAGCCAAGTATCTGTATCTGGGAAGGAGAACTTGGCATGGATTTCAAGTCTGTGTCTAGATTAAAATTATGAAATAAAGATTATTTCCTGTAAAAGCAAGTTTGAAGGCAATAAGATGGTGAGGAAGAGAAGAAATTATTCTAGAATGATCCTGGGTTTCTGACTGCAGAGGCCAGGTGTCAGAGGAACCCAGGAATTAAGAAAAGTAGAGAATCTGTTGGAATGTTTCTGAGTGTTTCTGAAGAGAGCATGCCTTTCATTTACTCTTCATTGAAGAATGTGCTGTCTTTGTTTGGGAACGCTACTTTTTCCAGTAGTTTAGTGATCTGAATCATCTCATCCTGTGGCTGAGGAAAGAAAAGACAACAACCAGGTCCATTAGTATGAAGAGCTCGGCTCTGGATCCATTGGGCTTATAGTATTAAGTATCCAATAAATAGATATATGTTTGCAATTCAAAGACGAGAATAATTTAAATCAAATTAACTGAAGCTACAAAAATATCTAAGGTCACCAAAGGAGACTATCATGAATCAGAGATTGTCTTCCAATGAGCACTAAGTGTTTGAAACTACTGTAGCTTCTGAGAAGGTTCTAGGCACGTGCCTCCTGCCCCATTTTCTCTTGTAGCCCTTAAAACAAAGTTTATGAGGTAACCACAGTAAAAAGACGAGGGAAGAAGGCAAAAACTCACCCTTAAGTAACATAAAAATTGAATCTTTTGAAAAATTTAATATCCATGAATTCATATACATGCCTTACACATAGTAATTCATACTTTGTATTTCCTTAGACCATAAGAAATTGTATAAATAAGTGAAAGTCAGAAATGTTATATATCCTGTCCATGGTCACACAGCTAGTAAATGCAGAGCTAGATTCTGGCTACAGATCTAGTCTACAAATGCTGTTAAGCTGATTTCATCATCACTGTCTCTTCCTCCCGGACAACTTTCTCTACTGTCTTACTTGGCCCCAGCTAAGGAAAGTTCCTCTATTAAATAATCTCATAGGACTTACTTGCATTTTGATTAAAAACCTGTTTGTGTAGCTCCTTGACACTGCTAGTGTTCCTCTTTACTGCTTCTCCTGTAGTCAGGTGTTTGATGGGTTTGGAGGATCATGTCTACTTTTGAGTTTAGCAGGGTATGTTTTAGAGCTGCCACTCATTTACAACATACTGATTGGCTGATTTATATCTTGTAGGCCTAAATCAGATGATCCTTTTTGTTTAATCTACCAATGTCACCTTCACAAAATTTTCCAATCTATTCCTTCCCCCATTGTCTCTTAAAATATGACTGATCTCTTATTTATGGTGTACACACATTGAATGATAAACTCAGAAGATATATCAGATAAATCTTGGAGACTCACAATTAAAGCTGAATGTTGCTCTTTAGCTAAAATAGTGTCTCCACTTTCTGAAAAGGCTGCTGTTAAATTAATTAGATAACATCTACATGTGTGTTTTGCTCAAGAGAAAGGCAATTTGAGTGCTAGTTAGGTTAGGTTGGTGTATTTGCATTCCCTTTTGGAGCAAAATCCTCCTAATTTTGTAGAGAACATATCCGTTGCATTCAGAGCCTCAGAGCTAAGTCTAGGGCTAATTTAACTCCAGGTTAAATAAGATACATGTTCCAACAGCATCTGTTGTCTTGTTCCTTAGTATCTACAGCACTGTGACATCTTGGGAGGGGGTGTGGAATCAGCCAGATCCCAAGAGCTCTTCACCATGGGGGTTTATCTCTGAAGATAGGCAAATATGTTCCCTATTTCCCTATGTTGTATGCCCAAGATTTTGTTTTCCATATATGTATGTATATATATATGGTATGTAATATATATTCTGATATATATATATATATATAATCTGTAGTTTCAAGGATCAGAACGTTCCGTCAAGCTTACTTCAAATTCTCTGTGTCTTCCTCTTTGACAACCATCTCTACCTTCTTCCTTGACCCCAGGTATGTAAGATTTCCTGTTATATAGTCCCATAGCACTTAGTAGTAGTTCAATTAAGTTCCTATTTCTATAACTCCTTAATTAACATTTTTATCTAATCTATAAACTCTCAAGGGCAGGGACTCGATCTCTTCCACTGCTCAGTGAATGTATTTTGACTGAAGAATGAAAGGACATCCAACACTGTTTCTTCTTATAATTGTCCCTATTACAGAAAGTGTTTTGCCCTTCAAGAGAGCTGTACAGGGGCTGAAATAATGTCTTTTTCATAAGTAAAAATTCTTTTTGGGGTCATACATAATAATTTCTCAGTGGACCTACAAGAACGTAAAATTATATAGAATTTTCCATCAGTTTTCATGGGCCTCAAGTGGCTGTTCCATTGAGGGGAAGTTCTGTTATCTACAATGGCCTTTGTTACTAGATCTAACCTTTTTCTCTTTCATTTATTCAACCAGTATCTTTTGTTAACTACATAAAGCACCTTGTGCTGGGTGAGTTGGAATGTAAAGGTAAATAGTCTACATTCCAGGAGCTATAGCCTCTGAAAGATGAGTCAGAGGAAATTAATCAGTCCAAAACAGCACTGTCAGTCTACCTGCATCCATACCGTCTGTGCTTTATGATTCGTAGTCACAAAGTATATTATTGTTATATAAAATAAACTGAAATGCAATTTTCCTGTTCAAGGTAGAAAATGCATTTATGTGCAAATTCACTTAAAATTTAAAATAATTTAAATCTGGGACGGGTAAGCTACATCCCATGCTTTATAAAAGCTCTAACCAGAGCCTATAGAAGAATTTAAACTTTGTAACAGACCAGTATTTACCTCTTTAAGACTAGAACAAACTAAAGAATGGGAAAGTTAGGGAGATGACTTCATTGGTAAAGTGCTATCATGTACTTATGAGGACTGAGTTTGTATCCCTAGCACTCATGCAAAATATGGACAGCATGGGGACAAAGGCTGGCAGGTCCCTGAAACTCACTGAGAACTCAGTGTAGCCAAACCGATGAGCTGTAGGTTCAGTGAGAGAACCTGTCTCAAAAATTAAGGTCAAAAGAGACTGAGGACCCAAGGAAATTTCTGAATTCTACATGCATGCGCACACATGTACACACAGACACCATACAAACAAGGAATACACTCCCCAGCAAACACACATACTACAAGGATACCCATTGTCAGCACTATAATTTAACAGTATAAAAATTGTTAGCAATCATGCTAGAAAGGAAATAAACTCAAGAGGTATAAGATTTTGTAGAAAAAAAAAAAAAAACAGGCTTAATAGAATCAATGTACCAATTATAAGAACTTATAGATATATCTCATGAGACTGCCAGATCTAAAATTCCTAAATTGTCTTTTCCTCAATGACAAATTAGCTCATTATGAAACTAAGAAATACAATAGCACTTAAATTTTTCAGTAAACTGTAAGGCACTTTTATATTAACAATAAATACATACAATTTCATTAAAATAGTCTAGATGCCTATTAACAGAAAGCAAAGAAATCTATCATGGAGAGGTATTCTTTTTATACAGACTTTATTCTGTAAAGAGATAAATTGCCCTCCCCCAAGTAATCTTTAAATTTAACAAAATATTAATAAAATTCCAATCTGAAGTTTTTAGAAACTACAAAAAGCATAT